CCAGAGCTGCTTGAAGTCCCTTGTTCCAGCCTACATGCAGGCCGAAGGCGAGAAAGGTGACGGTGCCCTGGCAGAGCAGGAGTCCCAGGTGCATGGTCCTTAGCAAAGTCAGTGATGCTAATAATTTAAGAGTAGAAAGACCAGCCACTGTTCCAAAGATAAACAGGGGACCTTGTGGGGAAAAAAAGTAATGCAAGGCTGTTTTGACCCTCCAGGTTTTGGAGGGCCACTGACAGTACGCCTCAGAACTTTCTGCAGGACTGTCGGCGCGCAAAAATGTGCAGATGCACTCTGTCTTAGCTGCTGCTTACACAAGGAGGGAGCAAAGGACTCCAGACCCACCAAGAAGAACCTTTCCCTTCATGTGCATTGCTTTGTGGGTTGTGTGCAAAGCGAGGTAACACATGGAAAGCTCAAAAAAAGGCAAAGCAGTTCAGAAGGGCAGAGAAATGGGGAACGGAGGGGAAAGAGAATGGCTTTGGGGTTTCTGTTCACCAGGAATTACCTGAAGGTTTCCAATAGTTCAGTGCCACTCCTCTAAAGCGTGGCCTGGTCTATTACTACCAAACGTCTCTGCAGGACTTCTGTCCCAGAGGCAATCTGCTCTCCCGTACGTGTGGTCAGGATAACCAAGCTCTCTGTGACCAAGGAACTTCTGAAACGTGGCTTGGGCAAGGAATGAAGGAAATAAGGAGATGGGCTCGGCAGCTCTCCTGCTTGCTGGCTCTCAGAGCAAATGAGAAAGGACAGTTTTCCTCTACACTCACCTTTCCGTTCCAGTTAGCCCTGCCGTATGGGGCATCTGCAGCACAGGTGTAGTTTGAATGAAACAGGTTTTTCTGACCAAGGAACAGAAAGTCAGCCCTTTCACCAGTTCAGCGTTGCCACACGCCGCGGGCTTCCGGTGATGGAGTAACGTGCGTGCACAACCTAGGGAGGGGGTGGGCTTCAGGGGGGGTGGGAAGAGCAGGGATGTTTTTTTCTAGAAAAACAATTAAAAATTATTTCCACGGTGAGTACCTCCCCCACAGCCTGGTTACGGAGAGCATTCCGCACAGAAATGGAACGGAACTCAATTTTCATTTTTGCTTTGCAGTTCACCTTTAAAATGAAAGGGGACTTTTGTGAGGCTGAATGACTCTTTGTGGACTTTGGTTCCTTCAGGCTTGCAGCATTCAGGTTGCAGTTTCAAGGGTGCAGAGCCTTTTAAGGGTAGATGTGACATCAGCAGGAGTTTCCAGCCTCTGCACATGTACTGCCAAGAAGGTTTTTGTTCTCCTTTTGGTTGCAAAGGAGACTCTTCGGGGCAAGGCGCTGAGAACCTCATCCAACTCATGATGCGATGTCACCCTGACATTTACTGTACGCCTACTCTTCCCCTATTGCTGCAAAAGAAAATAGAAAATTATCTATTAGGCTCCACAATCCCCAAGTTTGACCAGCTGCTCTTCCACGTCTCTCCAGCCATAGTAAGAGCTGAACTGTGAGAACAAGCGAAGGTGTGGTTGAGGGAAAGCACACACACACAAATGCATGCAGACAGGCAGGAGGAGGAACTTCAAGAATCATAGCCTAAGGTGGGCTGCTTTTAAGAGGAACAGAAGGAAATGCTTCTTCACATAACATGTAATCCAACTGTGTAACTCACCATCACAGGATGTTGTGGAAGCCGAAAATACACATGCATTCCTGAAGGGGCAAGAACTATTCCTGAAGGGTAGGTCTAGCAGTAGCAATTAAACAGCTGATGTCAAGAAATCCCTAAATTCCTGGCTGCCAAAGGTTCGCAGGTTATGGCAGTTCTTATCCCTTGCAGTGTGGAAGAACTCTTTTCTCCACCATTTTGCTACCAGTTGTGGGCTGACACAGGTCAGCGGGCTGAGTGGGCTCCTGGTCTGCCCCAGTCTGGTTGCTCAGAGCCTGCGATGCATTATAAGGGGAAGTACAGGTAGTAGGGGGAAAAAGATTGTCGTTGAATCTTTCCCGACAAATGAATTTTCCCGACAAATGAAGTGGCTGAGTGGAGGGAAACCAGTTAAATGAGAAGTTGCTCATTTAATTACGTATTCTATTTTATTTAAGTAATATTAAAACATGCTATAGTGTTGCCAGGACCACTGCAGTATTTTTCAGTGTGTTTCCTACAGATTTAATGTAAAGCGTGCAAGTGGGACAAGGGTAGGTGTGCTGCAAGGGAGGAGAGTGAAAGCTTGTTTCATGTTCTGTCCCAAGCTCTCTGTCTGGGCGTAACTTCAGCAAGTGGCCCGTGATGCTGCCCCAAGGTCTGTCTGTGCCGGGGCTCTGGCTGAGGTCTGCTGGTCCCCCTCCAGCACCAGCCACTGGAGGATTGCAAAGCACTTCAACAGGGTGTGCCGCTGGGCACAGGTCAGCCTGCCGCAGGGGTCTCGCTGCCCACTGTGTGACAGTGTCCAAGGGCCTGTAAGTCACTGCCGTGGTTTAACGTGGCAGCGGGAAACTAAGCACCAGCCAGCCGCTCGCTCACCCCTCCCCTTCCCCCCAGTGGGATCAGGAGGAGAAATGGACGAAAGGGGAAACTCATGGGTTGAGATAAAGACAGTTTAATAATGCAACAAAGGAAACACTAATAACAATACTAATAATAGTAACAATACTAACAATGACAATAATGAATATGCAAAATGAACTATATACAAGACAATTTTTCTCACCACCCAACAACTGATTCACAGCCCAAAGAAAAGCTCGAACTCCTGGCTGAGAGAGGATTCAAGCTCCTGGAAACAAGAGAGCAAGACAGCTCCCTGCCGCCGGGCAAACCTCCATCCATAAACTGAGCATGATGTTTATGGTATGGAATATTTCCATTGGCCAGCTTGGCTGTCTGTCTGGCTATGCTCCCTCCCACCTCCTGCACACCTGCTCATTAGCTGAATATAAGAAACTGGGAAAAAGTCCTTGATTTCATTACAACAACTAAAAACATCAGTGTTATCAACATTCTTCTCATACTAAATCCAAAATACAGCTGTTACTGAAAGGACTCACAGAATGTTAGGGGTTGGAAGGGACCTCTGTGGGTCATCTAGTCCAACCCTCCTGCCGAAGCAGGGTCACCT